TTTCTGTTAATATGTCATTGTATTTATCTGGGTAAATATTGCCTTTCCTTTTGAAAGAGGTTTCAAAATAAACTATGTCTATATTTATTAATCCCTTGACTTGGAACGGTTTTAAAGACACTTTCTTATCGTTAAAAATTGTTGCTTTTGCCGATTGGTTGTTACCGATGGAATGGTTTTTATACTCATAAAATGATGGGAGAACTTACAGCGCTCATCCTGTCCCCGTAGATGGGGGTGACTTGGTCCCGCAGTAGCTTGCCCCGGTTGTCAAAATGACCACGCGCCGCCACTGCAGTAATGCGTATAACAGGGGTCACCAAACTTTTTTGACCGCGGGCCGGGTATGACTCAAATTGTGTTGAAACGGGCCGGATGAATATTTTTGTCAATGCGTAACCACAGTTCACTTTTTAGCAGGACCAAAGAAGAACAGAAGAATGTGGCTGTATCTGAATGCAAGCCGACCGAAGAACAGGTGAATAGGACTAGTGCTAAACCTGTTTTTGTGCCAACAGAAAAAAGTCCGCCAAGTAAGAAGATGAGAAGAAAGCAGAAAAGAAGTCGGCAGTTGAACTGGTAATTAGGCCTAGTGGGAAAGTAACAAACTGTGGTGTATCTAGAGTTTCCAGCATTGCAGCGTCAGATAGAAGCGGATCATTGGATGTACACGAGAACATTGAAAAGAAGACTGAGGACAAAGAGGAGAAGGCAAGAAGAAAAGAGCAGGAATCTTACGAAGAAATGTCAAGTGTAAACGTAAAAGTCATATGTAATAGACAGAATTCACATGTTAGAATTTTAAATTCAGGGATTCGTCAACCAGTGGCGACGGAAGAACAGCGAGCGGCAATAGATGTTTTCACGAAGCTGGATATTCCGACACTACCGATTTCACTAAAGAAAAGAGGAAGGGTTAATCACTTAACGTGCAGGTAATATAAAGCAAATACTGTGAAGATCACGGAAATATTGTGTACTCAGCTATGGACAAAAGACAAATGTTGTAGTAGATGTAAATATTTAGTTAACATGAAATATATCTAAAGTTTATCATGTTTTATGTAACAGGAGAACAAACAGAATAGTAGGGGAAGTAAAGTCAAGCACTCCAGTCCGCTTGCTCGGAGGCGGTGGGACATACAAGAAAAATGTGTACACGGCAGAAAATTTTGCAGTATTGATGAATTCGATGGAAAAGTTTGATCCACATGATTACTATTGTTGGTATCGATTAGTTTCTACATTTTTCACCCCAAACACGTCCAAATATGAAACCAAGCGAAAAATATTGGAAGCAAAAAGATTTTGGCGAGAAAACAAAAACGAAATACTAAAAGTTTGCGACATGCGATCTTTTAATCGTGATACCAGCGCTAAATGCAATAATAATGCGGCCAAACAAAATATCAGAAAATCCAAGACCGGTCAATTCGCGTCTCTTGGCGAAAATTTAACTGGGCAATTCAAATGTAAATACGATTGTAAATATTCCAGATTGATTTGCCAAAAATATAAATACAGAAGTAAATATAAATACAAATATAGACCGCATAAACGCCCGGCGTCAAATCGTTCGCCGTCGGAAAAGGACTGCTCCCGCATTTCCGATAATTTTAATTACGATTCCGCCCGTCGCATTGGTGAATCCGAGAGTCCGCTGCTCGAAAAGCGCGTTCAAAAAGATAGCAAAACTTCTGATAACAACATTGAAAATGTCATCTCCATGGATCACAAGTTACACACCGTTCACGATGAATTTGAAAACCCAAATATTTCTCCCCAGCAAAATCATGAACAAGTTTCGCATGCAAGCTCCTGTCCAAATTATAAGCAATCATCTCCTCAACGCGATGACGTTACATTCGATCTTGAAGAGACCAAATCAAATGCCAATGACGAACAAAAGCAAGAAAACGCACCCGAACATCCCGATTCTTCACAAGTCAAAGAACGGCATGTGGAATCTACAACTCAGGCATGGATACCCATTGAGGATTTGCCTAACAAGGCTGAGTTTATAGTTAAAGAAGATGACTGGAATGCCATTTCGTGCTCTGTCAAAAATAGAATAATTCTTTACAAAGACTGGGGGGATAAAATAAGAGATGGCATGAAATTAAGCAATCCTTATTGCTCATTTGCTTTTCGGCGCCATACTTTTAATAAACAACGACAGCGGTCGCGTGTGTTTTACACTACTGGATATTGTCGTTTTCCCAATTGTCATCAGAAGTTTACGATAACTTCTTACCGTTGCAATTCTCGTTTGATGCATGTGTCTTATACCGGCAATGTAAAACACTCAACAATTGTATCTGCTATTTTGAAAGGCGCTCGTCGTGAAATGGTTAAAAAAGAGCTCAAAAACAAGATGCCTCGTGAATGTTACCTGGACTTTATTAAAGAGGTTCCTAGCAATATCTTTTGTTCTGGTAATCGAGACGATGCCCCATCTGTCAGTGTTTTAAAGAAGGCTAGATACGAGGCCCGAGGTATAGCGAAGTTAGACTCGGATCAGTGGGAATCGCTTGAGCGTTTGCGTGATCAGCAAAGAAAAAATATAACAATGACCCATCAAGGAAGGTGTTGGGAACATTGCAGCAAATATCGCGTGTGCCTGCTAGTATTATGCTGTGGTCTCGTGATACCATAGATATTTTACAGGACGTCGCAAGAGAGGACATAATATATATAGACGCCACTGGTAGTATATTGCGAAGCTTTAAAGATAAAAAGCCATTTTATATATATGAAATTGTCGTCCGACATCCCATGGTAGGCAAACCCCCATGTGCTGTTGCGTCATACGTCACGAACGAACATAATTCGACCTCCATTTCCAATTTTATTGCACGATTCCGGAGAGATCATGCGTTGTGCTACACCAGACCGTCAGGACGTTTGATAATATGCGACGGCAGTGTCGCTCTTATAAATTCCGTGTTGATTTCATTCATGGGAGAAGGCTCCGTTGAATATATATCTCGGAGCCGGAGTTGCTTCTATACCGCTTTGATTCAGAATCTACATTCCGTTAATTCCGGAGTCGGGGTCAAATCCGGTGTTATTTCTATAATATTTGGAGTCAGATTCGGAGTCCACATTTTGTTAATTCCGGAGTCGGGGTCAAATACGGTGTTGTTTCTATAATATTTGGAGTCAGATTCAGAGTCTACATTTCGTTAATTCCGGAGTCGGGATTAAATCCGATGTTGTTTCTATATTATTTGGAGTCAGATTCAGAGTCCACATTTCGTTAATTCCGGAGTCGGAGTCAAAGCCGGAGTTATTTTTATAAAATTTGGAGTCAGATTCAGAGTCAAAAATTTCGTTAATTCCGCAGTCGGGATCAAATCCGGTGTTGTTTCTATATTATTTGGAGTCAGATTCAGAGTCCACATTTCGTTAATGTCGGAGTCAAAGCCGGAGGTATTTTTATAAAATTTGGAGTCAGATTCAGAGTCAAAATTTCGTCAATTCCGGAGTCGGGGTCAAATCCGATGTTGTTTCTATAATATTTTGGCGTCAATTCCGGAGTCGGGGTCAAATCCGATGTTGTTTCTATAATATTTTGGAGTCAGATTCAGAGTCTACATTTCGTTAATTCCGGAGTCGGGATCAAATCCGGTGTTGTTTCTGTAATACTTGGAGTCAGATTCGGAGTCAACATTTCGTTAATTCCGGTGTCGGAGTCAACGCCGGAGGGATTTCTATAAAATTTAGAGTCAGATTCAGAGTCCACATTTCGTTAATTCCGGAGTCGCGGTCAAATCCGGTGTTGTTTCTATAATATTTGGAGTCGGGGTCAAATCCGGTGTTGTTTCTTTAATATTTCGAGTCAGATTCCAAGTTCACATTTTGTTAATTCCGAAATCATGGTTGAAGCCGTAATTGTTTCTATAATATTTGGATTCAGACTCCAAGCTCACATTTGGGGAATTTCAGAATCGTGGCCAAATCCGAAGTCTTTTCTATAAAGACTCGGTGTATTAGTTGGAGTATTGAATCAGATTCCAGTCATTTTCATAATGACTCGGAGTTCGGATCCAGAGTCGATCGTAAAATTGTCCACAACCCTGACTATAATTCAAAACAATTTATTATATTTCGACGATTTTAAAAACGTAATTTGACATTTTCTAATCATGAAGAAGGCGCTAATTCAAAATTTAGTTTATTCGTTTCAAGTCTTGTTGAATTACTGAATTGGCATCCTAACATAATAGCATTGGGTTCCTACCCAAACTGTAAAAATAGAAACGATATTTTCGGAATTGGGATCTGGAATTTTTAGTGACTTGTCGTTTCTAGTTGGTTATGTTTAGATGCTTTATTTATTTACTTTTAACGCATTTGGTTTATTTTATTTATATGAGAAAATTATATTTATACAAATTTCCAATATGAATGATTTAGCAATCAATACACATAATATAATTTTGAATATTGATAAATTCACCTTTCTTTTCAAATTTTATTTTGAGACTATTTTTAAATTGAGAGTATATTGATATGGATGTGGCTATGTATATCTGAAACCGTAACTTCAAATAATTTTCTCGAACCAAAATCTGCATACCAAATTTCTGGAGATTGATACATAAAAATTGCAATAACGTTATAAATTTCTTTGCCCGGTGGTGTTGGAGAGATTTGGTAAGAGTGAAGTTGGGTGATATCTTTGCTGTAATAACGCTATGATTGTTTAGTGATTTCTAATTTTCATTTCAAGACAGTAAAACATATGTTACTGTACGAAGCACAATTACATATGAAATTGTATAACTGAATTCACACCACCAATCTGGCGTTAATATGACTGTGGTTATGGAGTATAGCTTGATGTATAGTGATTAGTTACCACTACACATAGATTGTTTGTAGATTGGTCTGGTTTATGTATTATAACCCCAGCATTGACTGACAATAGTTTTGTCTTGCGTTCGTTAACTCGAACTGTCTATCTGTCGATAGCCTTCGGCTGTAGTAGGGAGACGTTTGAAAACACCTTATGAGTTTATTGCAATTCCGACAATATATACAGAAATACAATGTACACACAATTTGATCAAATCTAGTCTGATTAACACAAAACACATTGCTGAATATATAGCTTTCTACCAAGCAATTAAAATAGAATAAAGAAACAGATTTTTACATTAACGATTAAAGAATCACGCGTCATTCCGGTTTCTGGTTAGCTTTCGGTTCACTATAATCAAACATTATTAAAAGTGTTTTCTTGAAGTTCATTACTAGCAATTAACTTGTTATTGCCAAGTCACCGTGTTCCTGGTCACGTACTTACTCCAATTATGAGATGTAAAAAATTGTTCTCAAGTGGATAATTTGGTTTTAACAAGATATTTCGAATTTACGTTATTGGAATATTACTGGAAATAAATTTTATTTTTACATGGGATGGCACCGAAAGGCTATTAAATCTTGAAATTGGATTTTGAGAAATTGATAATTGCTATAACGGGAATAATTAATTTTGGTTTTCATGAGTTTCTCACGAATTGGGCCAATTTGGTGTAGTTTTGTAGTTACATAACAACTAATTGGCTACATAACTCCCCCGCAGGAGTTCGGAGAATTCTAAGGATGCAATTTGGGCTGAGAAGGCGGAAATGACGTGCTGTTTTCATGAAATTCAACTAAAAATAAAAAATAAATTTTAAGCTGTATAAAGATAGATTAAATATAGTTATTCCTGAGATAGTTATACATGAGGTATATTATTGTTATAGGTATTGATGTAAATGCACGAAGTATTTAATTCTTCGTAAAACACATGTTAGAAAGAAATCATGTTAAAGTATAATATATATGTACAATATGAGCATTGCTATTCGACTAGTCTGCCAGACTAGGGTATAAGTTCGAATTTGATCTATTATTGGGATTTGGTCTAGATTGATAGATTTGACCCCCCTGATCTTGTCTATTGTTTTGCACAAGAGGTTGAGGTGGTTCAACAGGGTTCACTTGTTCCCTGCGAGCAGCCAAGTATTGCCGAAGCCGTTGTATTCTAGGAAGTCCTTCATCTCTCAGTTTTGGGCAAAGTTTCTTGATAAAACAAACGGTCCAAATAGTGGCCCAAATGAGAGATAAATGGAATAAGAGCATATAAATACCTGATAAAATTGACGTCTTAATGAAGGAGAGGGCATGAACAAAAGTGTCTTGCACTTCATGTGAGATAGCATCAGTATCAGTGTCTGATGTGCTATCTGCATTAGGTAGGGTTTGCTCACTTAATATTCGTTCTCGAATAAGGTTAATGTGGCTGATTGATAATAACATATTATTAATATCATCATAACCCTGGTGTCCCCTTGGTAATTCGTTATATGCTTCATTGTAATCGATAGGATTAAAATTGTCGACAAAAGGCTTGAATGTGGGTCTCAGAAATTTTACATGCATATCCGCATGATTTAAAGTATAATTGACGTAGTTATAGAACCGACCGTCAATTTGAAACGTAAATATACGACCAGGCGTATAATTTTCAAAAAAATGAATACCCACATAAGCGTTAGAATCAGGGAATATTTGTGCAATGATCGTTTCATTGCTATTATTAATAAAGTGCACTAAAGGTCGGGTAGCATATTTACCCTGTAAAAAGAGGTTCCTAAGAACGGTAACGTTAATACGTTGGCATTCAATTTCGGTCAATATATCACCCACGGTGATAGCTGCTCTGTTCCCACCTAGTAACTGACTTAGGATCTTACCGGGGTATTGTTTAGACAGGAGTTTAATATTAGTGGTTAGAATGCTTTCAATTTGGCATTCCAAATAATTAATATCTGCTGTCAATTTGTTTATTACCTCGGAAACCCTATCAGTGCTTTCTTGAATAAACCCAATTAGAGGAGAAGATTCTGAAAAATTCTTTACAGTATAATCGTAATTAAAGGCGGGATATTTAAGAGTAAAAAGGGATGAACCATCAAGTGCAATGCATTGTTGCGTTTCGAATAACAAACCATTATTGGTACAAAAAGTATCAGACTTAAAACATCTTTTAACTGACTTGCCACATGAACCCCAGTTATGGATTGATTGCCCAAGTTTTGGAAAATCTAAGCGGTAAATCTGATTAGAAGAATTATAATGTAAAATAAGTTCAGTAACAGTTGTTTGGTATTGAGGGCAATCAATTAAAGGGTGGTGTTTCCAAATTAAAGTTTGACTTCCTAACGTGCATGACCCAGTTAATATGTTGCAGGTGGAAATTGAAGGGAAAGCACCTAACATTACCCCATGAAAAGGATCATACGAAATTTGAATACGAGACAAATGAGCATTGATCACTTGTCCGTGTCTAGAGGATGGCCAACTATAAGTAACTTTTGCCTTGTTTTGAGTGGACCAAGTATCTGGGGAAGTGGGTTCTAAATCTCCAATATTATCAGCTTTTAACGTGTGTACCCAATCTTCACAATATAAAGGGGTGGGTGGTTCTATCATGGTAGAAGTCAGTTTACTCGAATGTGCACCAAAGAAAAAATAATGACTAGACCATTTAGTAGCAGATTTCTGACATACATATAAAGTAATATTTGTATAGCTAGAAGATAATTCATGTACCGTAACAGAGCATTGCTTAATGGTTTGGGGTGTCTCCTTAGTACAATTATTGGGCTTCTGAATAAAGTATTCAGCTTTGGGTCTATTGGGGTGGCATAGGTTTACTGTAACTGTTGGAGTTGGTAAAGCAGATTTAAATGGCAGACTAGACGAATAAACAAAAAGATACATACAGATTGCGAGGTACTTAATAGTAAACATAATCGTCTCTCTGTGGCGGTCTAGTTGTCCTTCCGTGTCGAGTCCTTGATTGTATTGATCCTGAACCTTGTTGATTGCTATTAGTTTCCTCGTTCTGCGTAATAAGTAAAGAGTCGTCAATATCGGTTGATATTGGTACGTTATATCTGTGTATTAGTACGTCAGATTCAGTAGTTGGGGTATTTGAATTAGAAATGTCCTGAGTATCGGGAGTGAAAATTTCTTCATGAGCCGGCTTAACTCTATCAATAGAAACAGTGGTAGGTTTGCCTTTAAAATCAATCTTAAAAAACTTGTCGTATTTTTGTATAACACGAAAAGGTCCTTGATAAGGTGGTACCAGTGGTCTTCTAACTGCGTCAACACGTAGAAAGATGTGACTGCAAGTATTCAATTCTGGTGATAAGAATGTCTTTCTATTTAGAGGTGTTCTCGGTTGGATTGGTTTCAACTTATTGATGAAATTGCTCAAGCGTTTCATAAACGCCTGAGGGTTAGTGTTGATACCCGGTTGGTTGGTCGAGAAAAATTCTCCAGGCAATTTCAATGGTGTTCCATAAAGTAGTTCGGCGCTACTGTATCCTAAGTCCTGTTTAATGGCAGTTCGCATGCCAAGTAGAACTAAACCCAAGTTTTGATACCAATCTGCAGTATTCCGGCAGTGAGTCATCAGAGATGCTTTTAATTGTCGTATTTGTCTTTCAACAGCTGCGTTTGAGGCTGGGTGATAGCTAGTAGTTTGAAATGTGTTGAGAACCGAGAAATTGCATTGCTTCTTGCCATAGAACACTTTGAAAGCAACCTCCACGGTCACTGGTGATGATTGCAGGTACGCCATATTTAGAAATCCAGAACAGAAAAAATGTTTTAACTACCGTTTCAGATGTTATGTCTTTGATAGGAATAGCTTCCACCCATCTCGAAAATTTGTCCACAATGAGAAGTATATAATTATATCCGTTAGATGGTGGTAAAGGTCCAGCAATGTCAATGTTGATATGGTAGAATCTTTCGTCTGGAGTTACGATAGTTTGCAAAGGTGAGATCGTGTGCCTTTGAATTTTACATGATTGGCATGGAATACACGCTCGGCACATTTTCCTGATGTCAATGTTCATGTTTGGCCAAATATATCTTGCTTGAATAAGATCTTGAGTTGCTCGAATTCCAGGGTGACTTAATTGATGATTCGTATCGAATATACGTTTTCGAAATTTCTTCGGAATAACTGGGCGTAGTGTTGATAGTTTTGAATCGCATAGTAGATGTAAAATAGTCACTAAGTTTCACAAATCGTAATTCCATGGCTTTTAGGTTCATTGTACAGGTGTTGAATGTCCGGATCCTTACGTTGTTCCAGAAGCGCATGTCAGACAAGGTTAGAGTTGTAGGCAAGTGTGAGAATGCGGCAATTGTCGCTCTAGACCAGTGGTTCTTAAACTTTTTGAGCCGCGCCCCCCTTTGAAAAATTTACATACTTCGCGCCCCCCCTCTTTTTGCTTTGAAAAATGCTTTTGTGATGGACAAGTTGTTATAATATTAGGATGGGCGCTATAACTGAGTGTTGGTCTCATAGCGTCATTGCTCAGATTGTTTAGGCATAAAACGCTTCGGAGTACATCTTCGCCATTCACTGTCGTATGTATAAGCCAAATAGTGGTTGGTCATCATACTTTCTCGTTTTTCCGCTCAGTTTTCAATACTTGGCAAAGTCAATCTATTTATTAAGTAAAAACTAAACAAGCAATAAACCTATGCTTAATGTTTTTTCTGCTTAAACATTTACATAAGACACGTAAAATTTCAATCAATTGTTGTCGCTAAGGCGTTTGCGATTGCATTTTGTTCAAATCTCCATTGTTTACGTCAGCGTGGCGTGTTATTTAAGCCCCTAAAAATCTTGATTTCGGTGTTTATTCTTCCTAAATCCGAAATTTCCCTCGACATATTCTTGAGCCGCGAAGACGATTATAATTACTTTTTTTGTTCTCGAATGGAACCCATAACACCTCTGAGGAAAACGAGTTAGTTTTTATTATAATCATCAGCGACGAGATGCTAACGATAGAATAAAAAAGTGAACCCGTAACTTAAAATTTACTAAAAATAAAACGGAAAACGCCATGAGTTTTGTTTTGGGGTGGACCGCGACAGATTTAAAAACACTTTCTTGGACATTGAAAATCTCATAAATTCCTTGTGCGTGCGGCACACCAGTAGTTTTCTAAAACCACAGACTTGATATAAATTTTTACTCCTTGGGATCGCAGACTCTGGAATATCTGTAAACTGTGATATCTTGAAATTAATCGAGTGTCGGCATTGCGATAGAGCGGAGTAAGAGTTGCAAGGACAGCTCATATTGGTGAAATGTGGCAAGAATAAATCAAAACAAATAAAGCAACCATTTTAAAATAAGTATATCAATCATGGATTGAATATTTTATTCAACAGAAAACCATTACATATCCGTTGAAAAGTCGCTCTTTTAACGACTGGCGTAATCTCGAGACTGACTCAAAAGCCGTACAGGCGTGGGTTTCGTTTCGATGAATATGTATTTTTCATCTACTAATATATATACTTTACATGTATTTTAATTGTACTAAATTAAATATACTTTCTGAATATTATACCAGATCTTTCTAATGACGACAACGAGTGCAAATAAATATAAAATAAATATAATCGGGCAGTTGATCACACTTATTATGTCCGCGGATTGGCGTGGTATTTTATATAGGTAATGAGTTTATTTTGTCGTAAGTCGCCGCAACCGCGAGTTACCTTGAACACAAATGACTTAAAATAGAGAGACATCTTGAATTATTGTAGTTATTACGAGACAGAAAAATTTATTATAACACGAAAAAGCCGGTATTTTTAACGAACGCGGAGACCGTTTCAGGAGCCGTTACATGTAAATTTCCGATTCCATCTTGTGACCTCTCGCGCCCCCCCTGAGAGCATCTCGCGCCCCCCTAGGGGGGCGCGCCCCCCAGTTTAAGAACCACTGCTCTAGACAAAGCATCGGCTACCACATTACTGCTTCCAGCAATATATCTCATGTCATTTGTGTATTGACTTATAAAATCGAGATGACGAACTTGTCGTGGAGATGATCGTTTCAGCACTTTTGTGTAGGGGCATATCGTCAATGGTTTATGGTCAGAGAGGATGAAAAAACGAACGTCCTTCCAAATCATATCGAAAATGTTTGACACTCAGATAAGCAGCCAGTAGTTCCCGAGTCAAAAGTAGAATATTTCCGTTGGGCTGGGTTTTAACCGATTTTGAGAAAAAATCCTAATGGTTCCCATTGATTATTTCTCTTTTGTTGTAATACACTTCCAATCGAATCTCCTGAAGCGTCCACCGCAAGAGATATTTCTGCTTCTGGGTCTGGGTGGTTTAATAATGCAAAATCACTCAATGCATTTTTCGATTTTTCAAAAGCTTCGTCATGTTCTTTGGTCCAAGTAATTTTCTGATACTTGTTCGAGTAATGAGAGCACATTTTATGAAGTGGAGCCAAAATGTTAGCACAATGAGGTAAACATTTTTGGTAGAAAGTGTACATTCCCAAGTAAGCACGTAGCTGTCGTTTGGTTTCGGACGAGGGTAGTTCCGTAAAGCATTTACCTTCGATTGATAGGCCGTATTCCTTTATTATTCACATGATATCAAGAAATGTTAATTCAGGTACTCCAAACAGACATTTTGTCGAAATTAATTATTAGACCGTAGTCGTGTAATCTTTGAAAAGTTGTCTGAGATGCTCTTCGTGTTCTTACCGGTGATTTGGAAAATACCAAAATATCATCGACATAAGCAAAAACATCGGAATATTGCGGATTACCATGTATCGATAGAGTCTTTTGAAATGTTGAACCTGAATTTTAGTGCCAATATGGAGTCACGTGAATATCGAAATGCGCCAAAAGGTGTAACTACCGTTGTTTTAGTCCATGTCTTCGGATTTCATCGGAACTTGATGATAAGCAGATCGCAAGTCAACTTTCGTAAAAATTTCCGATCCATGGATTTCATTAGTGAAGGACTGGATGTTTGGTATTGGTATGTGTCATTTTTTGTTTGTATATTGAGGTTTTTATAATTTCCACAAATTCTGTATGAGTCAGTTTTATGAATGTCTCCATTTTTCTTCAAAAACAACCGTAATAGGGCTACCCCACTCACTTTGTAGATGGTGAGATAATACCTTGTTTCAAGAGTTTGGAAAAATTGTTCTTTGGCAGCTGTATATTTCATCTGTGGTAATCTATGAACTTTACTTCTCACCGGCAATCCAGTTGTAGTAATTGAATGCCTCACATCATGTTTTGTTGTAAGTGGATTGATTGTTTCTCGTAGTATTGAAGGAAATTCTTTCAATATTTGAACGTAACGATTGTCCTTGTTGATGCCTGAGGCGATGTTCGCCGCTACCAAAGTCATTGTATTTTGCTTCATCTCGTTCGTCGTGCTAGATGGATCAATTAGTAAGCGATTTTTAAAATCAAGTATAAGTCCATAATTAGTTAAGAAATCGCTACCCAACACAGGCATATTTACGTCAGCAATTGTAAAAGTCCATGGCATTGTCTTGTGCTGTCGTAATTTCAAATTCAAAGTTTTATCTCCAAATGTAGAAATACGAGTACCATTAACAGCTTGAAGTCATGTGTTGCGTGCCTGCTAGTAGAATTGAATTTCGAAAAAGGTAAAACACTTATAGCAGCACCTGAATCAATTAAAAAATCAAGTTTGTACATTCGTCATATATAAATAATTGCCGACGCTTACATCCGTGTGCAGACCATTTCGCATTCAGCGTCTTAATCGAATGGCATTTGAGTTTGGGTGTTATAAGTACATCCCGGCATACATTCTTGGCTTTATCCCGAATGCTTTATGATAATAGCAAAGTCCATTTGATCTAAAATTTTGGGGACCATCGGTACGTGGAGCTTGGTTTGAATTTCTATAATTATTCATGGGTCGATAAGATTGGGATCGAAAGTTATTCTGATAATCTCGTCTCGGACGCCACTGGGGCCTAGACGAATTATTCGTAAAACGTGTAGATTGAAATCCTCGTTTATTTTGATGATTGACATAATTCGGTTTTTGCCAGTTAGTGGAAAATTCTCTGAAGCTATCGGCGAGGTCATTAATTTTTGCTTCAAGTAATTTATTTTGCACCTGACTTTGTACATACGTGTCTTGTTTTGAAAAATCCGAGTTTTGTACGATTCGATCCGCTTGAATTGCCAATTGGTCCACTGTATTGTCGTAGTTTGACGCCAAAATATTTCTGATAGATGACGGTAACTTTTCTAAAAATAACTTCTTGAGCAGGCTGTTAGCAAGAGTTTCCTGCAAACGTTCAGGTCCGATTAAAAATTTCAAACGTTTTAGCATTTCAGAAGGCATTTGATCTCCTAGTTCGGAAGTGTGCAAAAATGCAGTCAATCTCTGATCTTCCGTGGGTGCAAATTTTGTCAACAAAGCTTCCTTAAGCTGAGCATATGGCCTAAGTCCATGTATCTCTAGTAAATCCAAGCCAATTCTATCGATAACTGAGTTATCTAAAACAGCCAAAACTTCATCAAATTTTTTGGTTTCAGTAAGTATGCCTGCTCGTGAAAATGCGCTCTCAACGCATCTAAACCATAATTGCGGGGAATCAATCCAAAATGGTGGTATTTTAAAAGGATCTCGAGAGACATATTGTCGTAATGGCCGGGAAGGTGGAGTATGAGTATCGCTAAATAAATCAAAATTTCCCGAAGTGCTAGAATGACCTTTTCTTGTTTGATCATCAAGAGACATACTCGCTTTTAATTTGGACGATATGAGTTTGAATTTTTCCAGAATGTGACTTTTCAAAGAAGAGCTACTCTTGGGGGTTTCCTTAGACTTTTTCGAAAAGATATCGAATGGAAATATTCTTGACGTCATAAGTTAGTCGAAAATGATGTACGTACCAAAATTCGGCTGAGGAATTATACTTCAATTCCGAGGTCAGACAGTCAATATTGCCTTGGGCGATGTGAAATGTCCTTTTCGTTCACTGTATGGATGAGTTTGATCCTTTGTTTGGTTTGTTGCACGGTTCTCGAGTTTTTGCGATAGGCCTGTTGGAAGATAGAGATTTGTATGTTTAGCAATAGGCACCCTTAGTTGCGACTTATAGGATGTAAATTAAAACGTGAAACTTATCTTATCGAGTTCCTCTCCGTAGGCTGGCTCCGTAGGATTGTTGTCTGCTCCGTGATTGATCTGCGTCAGAAGGCAGTCCAAAGGTCGGGATCTCCAAATATAGTGATTAGTTACCACTACACATAGATTGTTTGTAGATTGGTCTGGTTTATGTATTATAACCCCAGCATTGACTGACAATAGTTTTGTCTTGCGTTCGTTAACTCGAACTGTCTATCTGTCGATAGCCTTCGGCTGTAGTAGGGAGACGTTTGAAAACACCTTATGAGTTTATTGCAATTCCGACAATATATACAGAAATACAATGTACACACAATTTGATCAAATCTAGTCTGATTAACACAAAACACATTGCTGAATATATAGCTTTCTACCAAGCAATTAAAATAGAATAAAGAAACAGATTTTTACATTAACGATTAAAGAATTACGCGTCATTCCGGTTTCTGGTTAGCTTTCGGTTCACTATAATCAAACATTATTAAAAGTGTTTTCTTGAAGTTCATTACTAGCAATTAACTTGTTATTGCCAAGTCACCGTGTTCCTGGTCACGTACTTACTCCAATTATGAGATGTAAAAAAATTGTTCTCAAGTGGATAATTTGGTTTTAACAAGATATTTCGAATTTACGTTATTGGAATATTACTGGAAATAAATTTTATTTTTACATGGGATGGCACCGAAAGGCTATTAAATCTTGAAATTGGATTTTGAGAAATTGATAATTGCTATAACGGGAATAATTAATTTTGGTTTTCATGAGTTTCTCACGAATTGGGCCAATTTGGTGTAGTTTTGTAGTTACATAACAACTAATTGGCTACAGATGTACATTTGACATGATCAATTATTTTTGTTTCCAACATCGCGGTGTAAATAACTTTTATAGAAAAGATTTTTGCTTATTATTCAAACTTGAACTCGGTCTGATGTGTCTTGATGAAAATAAAATTTGAATCAAAAAAATTTCTTACGCTTGGATAATCGACTTTGGGTATTTGACTTATTGCATAATCTTTAGATATATTGTAGCGTTATTGCATTGATATCTGCGCCAAATGAGGGCAATTAAATTTTGAGGTTTTTTTTTATAAGTATGATATTGTCTTTTTCTTATCGTGTTGCAATAAATACACTTAGTAAATATTGTTGTATTTGATTTGAATTTCTTTAACGCGGATGTCACAATTGTTTTGAGAGACTTAAAAAGATCATATGACCAATAGGACTCCTCCTTAAAACTGAATTAGCAAGCGTAATGGGTGCTGGAATAGAACCCTTGATTTCGATTATATCAACATTATGTATAGCAGTTTCGTGTTGAACTATGAGAGGTCATTAAAATATTTCAGTCTGAACAGCATTTGCGGTAGGTTTTAATTGTATGCGCAAACTTATCTGTCTGAATCAGATCAAGTTCGAGCAAATCACTAGAAGATGATCATGATAAGGCCTCGCGAATCCTACAATGTCGCATTCGTATCAAGCGCTACATTTTCATTGTTCGGTGACAACAACAAAATTTTGCATTTGGAAGACTGTAAAGTACGAAATCGCTTGAATGATTTCGAAATATTTGATTTGTTATGAATTGTTAAAAATTACCATCGACGTTGGCTCCGCGATATTGCCTCCTAAAATGACTATTTAAAAGATAATGATAACTACATAGCAGGGGTGGTCAACCTTATTTCGACTGAAATCTTCAAGACAGATCGCGATCGATAATAAGGTAATACACATAAACGAATGAGAACTGAATAGGCAGAGAAAACTGCACACAGGTATTTAAAAAATTCACCGCTGTCAATAAGCTCATCTCCGTAGGCGCATTCTCAATGCAATCATCCAAAAAATTTGTATTTTTTATTTTTCATTAAATTTCTTAATTATGTAATTGTACAATAAGTACATGTTTCATCTTTTATTTAAATCATATAAGTCAGATCCAATGCTTGTCAATTTTAGTTGTAAGCGTTGAAAATCCCTTTAAAAAGAAGATCGAGTATCTATCTATTACAGCGTTTTCCAACCTTTTTTGGTCGCGGACTATATTAATACCGGCCGGGTGTCCAAATTTTAACTTTAAAGTCTTTCCCGACGGTAAAATTGTATTATTCTTTTATATTTTTTAGATGAAATGGCATGTAATATGACTATTCAATTTTTTGAGGAACAAACCATAAGATCATTTTCAATTTACAATTAAAATTTGACGTGGAACACCATTACCGCGAAATATTGATTACGGTTGAGTGTGCTAATTTTGACTTTAATTTTAAAATCTTTCCCGACGGTAGAATTTTTTTATTTTCTGATATTTTTTAGATGAATTACTATGTAAAATGACTATTTAATTTTTTGAGGAACAAACCATAGGATCATTTTCAATTTACAATTGAAATTTGACGTGGAACACCTTTACCGCGAATATTGATAACGGTCGATTGTGTTAATTTTGACTTCAATTTTAAAGTCTTTCCCGACGGTAGAATTTTTTTATTTTTCAATATTTTTTAGATGAAATACTATGTAATATGACTATTCAATTTTTTGAGGAACAAACCATAGGATCATTTCCAATTTACAATTGAAATTTGACGTAGAACACCATTACCGTGAAATATTGATAACGGTCGAGTGTGCTAATTTTGACTTTAATTTTAAAGTCTTTCCCGACGGTAAAATTATTTTATTTTTCATTATATTTTAGATAAAATACTATGTAAAATGAGTATCAAATTTTTTGAGGAACAAACCATAGGATCAATTTCAATTTACAATTAAAATTTGACGTAGAACACCATTACCGTGAAATATTGATAACGGTCGAGTGTGTTAATTTTAAAGTCTTTCCCGACGGTAAAATTTTTTTATTTTTTAATATTTTTTAAATGAAATACTATGTAATATAAGTATTCAATTTTTTGAGGAACAAACCATAGGATCATTTTTAATTTACAATTGAAATTTGACGTAGAACACCATTACCGTGAAATATTGATAACGGTCGAGTGTGCTAATTTTGACTTTAATTTTAAAGTCTTTCCCGACGGTAAAATTTTTTTATTTTTCATTATATTTTAGATGAAATACTATGTAAAATGACTATCAAATTTTTCAAGGAACAAACCATAGGATCATTTTCAATTTACAATTAAAATTTGAAGTAGAACACCATTACCGCGAAATATTGATAACGGTCGAGTGTGTTAATTTTGACTTTAATTTTAAAGTCTTTCCCGACGGTAGAATTTTTTTATTTTTTAATATTTTTCAGATGAAATACTATGTAATATAACTATTTAATTTTTTGAGGAACAAACCATAGGATCATTTTCAATTTACAATTAAAATTTGACGTGGAACACCATTACCGCGAAATATTGATAACGGTTGAGTGTGCTAATTTTGACTTTAATTTTAAAATCTTTCCCTACGGTAGAATTTTTTTATTTTATGATATTTTTTAGATGAATTACTATGTAATATGACTATCCAATTTTTTAAGGAACAAACCATAGGATCATTTTCAATTTACAATTAAAATTTGACGTAGAACACCATTACCGTGAAATATTGATAACGGTCGAGTGTGCTAATTTTGACTTTAATTTTAAAGTCTTTCCCGACGGTAGAATTTTTTTATTTTTTAATATTTTCTAAATGAAATACTATGTAATATGACTATTCAAGTTTTTGAGGAACAAACTATAGGATCATTTTCAATTTACAATTGAAATTTGACGTGGAACACAATTACCGCGAAATATTGATAACAGTTGAGTGTGCTAATTTTGACTTTAATTTTAAAGTCTTTCCCGACGGTAGAATTTTTTTATTTTTCAATATTTTTCAGATGAAATACTATGTAATGAGACTATTCAATTTTTTGGGGAACAAACCATAGGATCATTTTCAATTTACAATTGAAATTTGACGTGGATCACCATTACCGCAAAATATTGATAACGGTCGAGTGTGCTAATTTTGATTTTAAATTTGAAGTCTTTCTCTACGGTAAAATTTTTTGAAATTTGTAAGATCATATACTGTATATTATGATAATTTAATTCCGTGGTAAACATTTTGTTGATTTCTTTTCGATGAACTGTTTAATTTCGACTTCTAAAGCCTTCGAGACAATGTGTATCTGCTGGTGAAATGTTTTCATCATGTTTATTTTTTATTGTACAAGATGTATTTGTGCAAATCAATTATGGTTTATTCATAACTACATTTTTCCTCATAAAAAGAACAGACACTTAGCTTAGATTTCAATTTTCTTATTTTTGAGTTTCGACGGTCAATTTCAGGCTTGTTTACCGTCATATCTGGTAACACTGGTTTGAGATATTATTGTTCAGTTGATTTGGAATCATTTTCCCGGCATTTGTGCTATCAATTGCCGGACTCTGAGAGGTTCTGGTGCTGAGGTGAATCTGGATATATGTAGGTTAGTAATCTGTGAGCGTTTAGGATGCCTTAACTTACCGTATAACACTGTCAGAACGCCAGCCCACACTCGTGTGACGCTAGCCCACACTCGTAGGATGCCAGCCCACACTCGTGTGACGCTAGCCCACACTCGTGAGACGCTAGCCCACACTCGTTTTTGACAGGCCATACTAGGGGTAACTGGTCCGTGCTTGGTATTGCATTTGCGCTGTGTATATCCAATATGGTCTCTATTTTGTCATAGCCACCAAGTTTTTATGTATTAACGTTTATAAAGTAGTAAAATAGTTGGTTAACCCCTTGACGTCAGACTGAGTGTGGGCTGAGCGAGTGTGGGCTGGGGTAACTTTGGTCTCAAAGTTTGTCTATTGGGGAACGCGACACGGTTTTTTAGAAAACAAATATTTCGCATCACAATTATGTTTGTCGTTTTTTTAGGCATTTACAGTACGGAGGCGTTTACTTCGCTAAACCCATTTTTGTACGGTTGAATAAGTACAAACTGATAATACTGTAATACCATAAAATGTAATAATGGAAAAATTATTTTATATAGCCTAGGTACCGGTACCATGGCACAGTGTGGTTTACTCACTTCTGCACTTATGTACCATATTGCAGTGGTACGTAGTCGTACCGGTACTGTAGTACAGTAGTATGAAATTTGATCCATATTCTGACAGTGTGGATAAACGAGATGTCAATGACAGGTTAGGCTAGGGCTGTAGGGCGCATTTTCAGACTGAATTATGTAATTGCATACCGGTACGGTAGGTTTTGGGCTTTGATAGTAACGTATCTTCTTATGGTCTGATGGTCATATTTCTGTATTCAAATAATGATCATATTGTTCAGTAGAAATACACACAATTGTATAGGATTCAGTTATCCCAGCATCCTGGTCCCCAAACGTCGCTCATGCAGAGTTCTTGCATGTTCTGTTGTCATTATAAATTTGAGGGACTAAACATCATTTTGCAGGTTTGCAATAAGCTATTAATGATATATTGCAACCAATTGTAATAAATTTATATTCCATAAGTCAACAGACGGAAACTTAGCATGAAGCAGCCACAAAAATTATATCTTGAAGAGAAAGTTCGAAGTATAAAAATCATGTGCATATACATACTTGACATAAAGTTTGAACCAAATATTTTTGCTCGTTCTTCCCATTTAAGGTTATATTCTTTAATCCATTGGACATGTTTTTATAAGTTTTTGTTACTTTTTATTACAGTATTAGAAAATTTGCATACTTTATTTAGTGTTTCAAAGGAATCCGTTCCATAAATTCTTCATAAGCAATTTTTTTGAAATGAAAATTTCTTTCAAATTTGTATAGATTGATATTACTCAAATATAATTCTATATATTTCCTGTTAAACTGTTCACGTAATTTAAACAGCTTCATCTTTAAAAAGTGAGTTGAAATTGTACAACGTACAATTATTGGTTGTTTCACACATTTTATTCTGCGTCACATATTCAAAAATTTTAGTCTTCTTTCAATATGAAGCACTTGGACATTATGTTTATTAACTGATTTTATTATATACATTTTTCAGTCAAGTTTTATATATAATAATAGTTAGTCAAAATTTCTGACCAAATACAAGAATGGGATTCATAACAACTTTCTTGGTTGTCACATTGATGTGGTTATTGATTGGCGGTGGAGGATCATTTCTAATATGGAAAGTTTCAAAGAGTCCGAACAAAGGCGTGTGGATGACTATGCTGATATGTACTGCAGTTTGTTGTTGGCTACACTGGTTCATCACAATCATGTGTCAGTTGAATCCACTCATTGGTCCACAGCTATCAAGAGGAGAAATATATATTCTAAAATGGCAATGGAGTTAATCAACTATCACAGCTTTCCATAATAATGGACTGGTGCAATAGATCTTTATATCTTGGATTTGTTTAAATTTATGTTATGGAACTCTGGAATTGTGAACATACATGTACAATCTGTGTTCATGTTAATACTAGATTTTTTAAATAATGGGTGTTGTAATGATTGATATTTACTTTCTAATTTGAATGTGAATAATAACATAATATGCTTCATGATTGTGACTAAAATTTTTCATGTGTCTAAAAGATGTTTCAATATAGTTTATATAGTACTATGTATTGATAAATTGCTTTTATTTTGTTATGAATGAATGAATTATGGTGATATGATATGATATTATGTTATATATTTAAATAAAATACTATCTAAAAGTCCCATTAGTAAACTAATAATAAACAAAATAATACATCAGCAAAATTTTGTTATCAATATAAATGTATAGCTGCACTAAACCAATTTTGGCCCTCTTCTTGTTTGTGCACATGATATATAATTCTCAACAACAAATCTGAAATAAAAACCTCATGAAACAGTGCTTTTGGTATTTGGGTATAATTTTAAAAAGCTTGTTATTTACTGTGAATGGCAAATTTTACATTTCTTTTTTGAGTATATGAAACTGCTGTGCTATTTACGCTCTCTTCCATAGTTCTCTCATTTCGGATGACAACAAATAATGACATAGATATAAGAGAGAATTATACTTTTCTTTTTTCTTTTCTATGCTATGTTTTTCTGGTATATAAGGAGAGAACATGATATACCCTATTTAAACTTTTTCTCATCTCGCAGAAATTTATCCTTTCAAAATCCTTTCAAATTTGGCATATAGAGTGATGTGATTTTGGTGAAATTTGAAAGAATATCTTGGAATTACAGTATATAATACAGTTGAAAATTTATCAACTGTACAAATGTATTTCTTAGTCTGGAAGAGATTTGATTGCATTATTGACTTTTTCTAAGTTTTGATTTAAATATTTGCAGTTGTGTTTAATTGCTGTACTATTTGAAATGTTTTTTTTCACAAAACTTAATATCGAGATATATGGAATATTTGATATTGTACATGGTAAAACAAGCTAATATATCACAGTGGATCTTTCAGGTGGCAAAAATTTGAAGGCTTCGAATGTCTCTTAAATCTTGCAAAAATCTCTTTGGGGTAAATTTTTGATCTTAGTTAAATATTATTGATGTATATGTTTGTTTATCTGCTTTGTTGTCATTGTAAAGTATTCTTTCATGTAATCTCAAATTATTTTCAAATATTATTTTATGTTTGTTTAAATGTAGAAAACTAAGTATATCATGGTTTTTAATTAGTGTGTTCTAAAGTGAAATTAGATGTGAATTTTAAATGGAAATATCACTTTGGAAGGAACATGGAGAATATAAACACTGATAAACAGAGGCATGTTTCTAATGAAATTGAAATGCCACTGCAGAATGGATTTAGCAATGATTTTGACGAAAGTTCAGTAAAAAAGTATTCATTTTTGAAAGGATCAATACCGCGATTACGAGATGGTGATCCTGATGTTGATAGACTTATTTCAGCAAATGTAAGTAAATAGTGTGGTTATTAATGTTTCTTTCGATTGGTTCCATGAGAAGAATACAAAAATTTTTAATTTTTAAAATGTATTGTTTATTGATTAATATTTGCTTGATCTATCTGGTTTTCTTTATGGTATTAATTGAACTTGCAATATTTCCAGAAACCAGTCGTCATCACTGATTCTAAACTTGTCCAATCTGCAAAAGACTGGAATCTTGAATATCTCGAAAAAAATATGGGAAATGGAAAGAATTTTGTTTTTCAATCTGATACACGAAAATTCATGGTATATTTTGTTATTATAAATATGGAAAATTTGGGCTTACTTATCTCGCTCTTTGTTAAATAATTCATTGCAATTTGGGAATTTTAAATTCATATGATGCATGAGATGATTTTATGAAGTAATACTCATTCTATGTTGTGTTGAATTCGTACTAAATAGATAGGCAATTTAGCTGGTGTTTTTTTTTTTCATTACAACTCTTAGACAATTTAGTTTGTTGTTATTGAAGGGTTGAAGCTGTATCCACTATTTCAAAGGCAAATATAATTATGAAATAATAATTAAAAAATTTCAGTATCATGATGAAAAACGAGTTACCCAATGGCCTGGTTTTAGGAGGCCAACAAGGCGTTATGAAATGAAATTTTCAAATTTTGTTGAAATGTTGCAAATGGGAAGAGAAAGGTATGTTATGATTGTCGAGGTTTTAAATAAATTTCTAGCATTTGAAGTGATCGCGATTTTGAATTAAGAGTATAAAATAGTAAGATGAGTGTAGTTTTGATTTTTTCTACAGTGTTCAAATGTTAAATAAGTGTGAGCCTGTTTTTGTCTATCTTTAATGGAAATATATTAAACTATTTCTTTTTGAAAATTTTACATGGCAAATATAAGTTACCGTAGTTCAAATTTAATTTAAATATTTGAATGTACCGGCGCCTGTGTACAACATTGTGTTACATTCTGTGGAATTTGATCAGGATGGATGAAAATTTTATTTAGGCTATATCTGCAGCAAACATTAAACGATACTGTCGGTCCAAATATGGTTCGAGATTTTGTAAAGTTTCGATGGGAATGGTGTACAAGATATCAGAGATTGTGTAGATGGGGCGATCTTACTTCCAATCTTCTGCTCGTAGGGATGGAGGGTATGTTTTTTGTTACGTTTTTATTAAATCTGCACCAGACTTTAAATTTTTACAATACAACCAGGTTCGCAATTAAAAATGAATACGTTAACACAATTATGTGATTTTTGTTAGTAGTTCCAAATTTCGCTGTACGGGAGATCTGTTTAGAATGTTCATGCTTGAAATACCCTTCAATTGGAATAGACAGTTTTGAAATGGTAAACTAATATTCGTACTTCAGTCTCTAACGATTCCTGTTATATCAGCTTGTAACAACATTTTTCCTCTTTCACAGGTAATATAACTCCAGGACATTTCGACGAACAAGAAAATTTTTTTGCTCAAATTTTGGGCCATAAACAATGTATATTGTTTCCACCTGATCAGTTTGAATGTCTATATCCGTTCCCTGTATCTCATCCCTGCGATAGACAAAGCCAGGTCATTATGATTCATTTTGTAACAATTTAAATATGGAAATATGATTGTGAAGTTTCAAAGTTGGTATTTGTTACTGATATTAGAATTGTGTGTGTTTACACCACTGACTTGTAAATGCCAAAGTTTTTGTAGTCATACTTTTGCTACCTTGAATGGCTGGGATTTGAATTGGATGAATCTTCAGGCAGACTCTCATTCTAATGATCTGCTTGGGCCTACAGATAAACTTTTTATATTGTTCCGAATCAGGGATCTGTGCCCACATAGACTTAAATTATATTCATGAGCTTTGATTCTAATTAGTTCATTTTGCAGAAAATATTTTGGTAAGTCATGACTTTGCTTCAAGGAGATCTATTTCATTGTAAGCATAGACATTTAAATTGAATTTATAGGCTATTTTTATCCCATTTCAAGAAATAAGTTAAATCTTACTGGACATTTTGTTTACTAAAACCAGTTCTATGAGTAAAGCAAATTAACATATTGCAGGTTGATTTTGATAATCCAGACTTCACAAGATTTCCTAAATTTCAACACGTAAAAGCAATTGAAGCAATAGTTGGGCCTGGTGATGTTTTATACATTCCTATGTATTGGTAATATATTATTACTTATTGTGGAATAATTTGGTATATCTTATCTATAGAGTGACTTTACGAAACATAATAACATTAGCATAATGTATCACTTTATCAAATTTAACGGAATCCATGGAAGGAGTAGGTTGCAGAATTGCCCTCAATTATTGTTATTCCTAACAATGATTAGTAAATGCCAACCAGTGGTAATCAATATTATTTAAAACAAGTACTGATTTTGTATGACATGCTTGCGAGTTCACTACAAGAAAATAGGGAATATACAGAACAGATTACTTCCTATGGATTGAATAGTGTGTTGAAAATCGTGTTGTATTTTTGGCTGATACAGAAAAAAATAACTTAGCTAAAAGCTTTATATGGCTCGAAGTGGAGAAAGTATTAGTATACTTCAAGTTTTGTTTGGCTCTTCCAGTTGTACTGGAACCAAGTGTATCAATAATTTGGTGGAATGCTGTGATGTTAAATATTGATTTGTTCAGGAAATCCATATGTCAGTTATTGGTAAGTGTATGATTCTGTCTGTGTGGCATGCTTTTCCGATTCCATATTGTTTATTTTACTGTAATTTAATTATGCAAATTCATGTAAATTCTTATGCTATTTCATATGTTCAAAAATTATATGCAAAAATAAAAATCTTTAGTTTTCTTATAAATTTATATGATAATATGTAAGTATATCTGTGGAAAAAAATAGTTGTAGTTAACCATAAACCTCGTGTTAATGCAGGTGGCACAATATAGAATCTTTGCGATCATCGACCCAATCAAATACGTTTTCACATGAAGTACCACCACCCGTCACTGTTTCAGTTAATTTTTGGTACAAAGCTGCTGCAATACCAGACAGAATCGAACGACCTTTGAAAGCGAATCACAAAGTTGCTGTTATGCGAAATATTGAAAAAATGTTAACTGAAGTTGTTGGCGATCCAGAAGAAGTAAGTTGAGATTGGATGTAACCGTCACATGAATTTAGATTTGTATCAGGTCTGAATTTACCATTACCAAAGTAGACTGAAGCCTAGGGGCCCCGACATTCAATCTTGAACTATTACTCATTTTTGAATCGGTTTTAATTTGTAAAAGCTTGTTCTAGAATGAAACCAGTTTAAAAGTCTATCAAACTGATATTTGTTTATTTTTTGACCAGGTTGTTAATTCTTGTCCCAAATATTTGCTGTTTAAAAGATTATAAAATTATTAAATACTGTTGAATAAATAAATTTTCCTAACTCTACCCTTTAATCTTGGAAACAAAATATGAGTATTTAATCAATTGAATAGTTCTTAGGGTCATAAGCATTCAGTTTTTACAAAAGATAAAAAAAAATTATTGATATATAGCTAGTAATTTAAGCAAGCAAGAATCTAAGAATACGATTCTTGTTATTTTTGAAAGGTTGTGGTTAATTACTGATATTTTCAAAGATTCTCTTAGTCCTTTACTCGGAAGTTATTGGTTTTGTTGGTCAGGAATTCTTCAGAGTTCCGCTGGTGTGTTGTTGTTTATCACGCTTTGCTTTTCCTCTAGTAAATTATTAAAGGTCCAAATAAGAAAAGTGATGGTATATTAACATTATCTTATTTATCGCGGAGTTACTGACAAATCTTGGTTCCCATCCCAAAAATCTACTCTTTACCAAGTATGAAAAGCAGGTAAAATCTGCCTGTCTAGTTTGAGATCAGTTTTCTAACTTGGGTATATGATATGGCCGTGTATAATGAATTCTAGGACTGGATTTTAAAAAAAAATTAAAAGCAAAAAAAAAGCCATTACGTAAAATGAAATTGAATGCCTAAATTAGGTTTATGAAGGAGAATTAAAGTATTTGAATAAAACTTATCCTCATTAGTTGGTTTGAAGAGAAAGTTAAATGAGTATGCGTACGTGAGAAATGTCACCCGTTACCTATCGATCTCGGTACTGTCGCTAAGCTAGGAGACTGTCGCTTAGGGGAATGTTGTTTTTCTATCGATTGTAAAATCGCATCTGGCGAAGTGTTCTCTATAAAACCTCATATTATGAGTGTATCGATTGAAACAAAACAACAACATACATTTGATAAAGCTTTAAAACATTTTCAGGCAGTTTATGCTGATTCGAACCAAAACGCGCCGCGTCGGTATGCCTATTTGTCATTTTAATCCGCGCTTGTTTGTATGCTTACTGCATCTGACTTCTAGCTTTTAACTACAGTTTGAGTACTTGGTATAAACTGTGAAAGACAACAAAGCCGCCAAGTGTGAGAGTCCATTTATTCAGTACTTTGCTCTCTGGCAATGTTTTCTGCGCGTTATTCAAAACAGGGCAATCGTTGTTTTAACTTACGTCAGTTACGATTCGTGGTGTAATTTGGCTGAGAGCTCTTTTACGCGGGTTCCTTTGCGTTATTTTTTCAACTATTTCCCACCGGAAACATGTATTTTCAATACTGTATCTTGATTTGTGTTATCTTATGAACAAATTATATATTTACCATTCATAAATTTACAGATTGGCAATATGTTGAAGACGATTACCGAAGGACGATATGATCACCAACAACAGATATCTTATGATACTTATCATCAATCATGACAGGAACTTGATACTTTTTCACACAACTGCGATGATGATTAACCTAAAATTACGTCAAGCGTCAAATTGTTTACAAAGCGGCTTCGAGAAATAAAAATTTGAATAGGTCTAAATTGTTCCCGAAGTATATGACATTGGTATCATGGATATGACAGTAAATATGAGCAATGTCAGTTTACCATTGGACGTTGTAATGCAGTGAATTCCGCCGTCGTGATGAATCGGAATGGACCACCCTTTCCAGTTATTCATCAATGCCCTCGTCTGCTCGTTACCAAGTACCGCCTTGCGGAATGAATATAAAAATGATAATATAGGTCCTCCTTTTTGGTTTCCCGACACCTGACGCAGCTCCTTCAAAGTGGTTGATTTGGCCGTATCAATCTTGACTAGTTTGCCAGCAGTCATTTCGTGATCGGCCTTTTATATTTATATATCATTTCAGTGTACCATTCTGTATTTAGGTAAATTGTAATTCTTTGTCACTTCAACAAGCTACGTGACTTTTGCGGGTGATGTAATGGTCGCATTCTTGTCTTGTCATGCGTACGTGAGTCACATGACCGCGCGGTCCAATTTATTTTGTGACGTTCGATGCGGTGTGAAGGGTTATCGCGTCTGGATAAGAAGATTACCTGGTTAATTTCCTTCTAGTATTTAATTTGTTTTTTCATTTGACTGATAATCCCGCATATACTCATAAATACCTTATTTCGCTACATTTCGAGTGACCTCTTGAAGAGTATTTTTCATATAAATTTATAAAGACTTTAAGACGGAAATATACAAATGACTTCCGAATTTTGCATCAAAATCGGGGGTACTTGATTGTGAAACTTCGTTTTGAATATACGCGCGGGGCGTTATAAGGGTTGACATTTTATCATAATCACCTTCCACGACAAGGAGGGAGAGAATTCGTTCGTCGTTCATCATGTTAACACTGCGGTCCCGCACTTTTAACTACGTACTGTTTCTAATGCATTTTCCTATCTCTGTTCTAAATATTGTTTTATTCTTGACGTCTTGATAATGAACAAATTATGAACAGTTAATCTTATGTGCAACCTTCTTTATGAATGAAATTGAAGGTTATGCTCCTAGTTATTACCATTTTTTTTCGTCTGTTGAGAACATCCGATTATTTCATGCCGGGCCCTTTTTCGAGTTTACTTAGTGGAATTTTTTGATGAAAATTACAAAAACAATGCTTCTTAGTTTCTTGCTTTGATTTTCAAGATTAGCAATTTAATAGTATGACCGGGTTGACTTCTCTTGCAATATATGATTTGGAGGAATGTTTTGAAGATGAACTGATGTGTCTAAGCTTGTTGCAATACTGTCGTAGCAATATACAGTTTTTGGATGTGCTAATTTATTGTGCATGCAGTGTATCTATGAATCGTGTTGCTTCAATGGAATCGAGGTCATGAATATGTAGCGTGCATAAAAAATTTCGTTTTTCATGGAGCCCTTCAACAGATAGTGTAATATCCCGCGACAGTTTTGTGGAATTACTTTTACGTGCGGTGAGATGCGTGAACTATTCACGCTGGGCTGGAATGTAGAACGTAATGCCAGTTTGCACGTAGGTCTCTCTGAAAATATTCAGCACTTTCTAAGTAATCTGAAATTTTATCGGCTCAGTTCATATAATTGTTCCCATGTAAGAATCAAGAGTGAACCCTCATAGCCCGAGTGTTGGCTCCAAAATTAAACTGAACACTCAAAAGTATCAAAGAGAAAGCGACTTGTGCGCACTTTTCGATATTAACAAAGGCGGTTGAAGGTAATGAGAAGTATGGTGGGGTCAATAGACAGCCCTGTGTACATTGAACAGTGAAAATATTGAACAATAAAACATTATTTCTGATAGGAAGCCTGTAATTACTGAATATTTATACTCGATACTAGAAAACTGATGAACGAAGAATAGGACACTTGAAAAAAATAAGCCGGCCCGAGATCAGGTTGCAAAGGTCGTGGTAGTGGATTAAATACATACCAATATCTTCAAATGATATCGTTGCATTATTAGAAATGACAGCAAACTTTACAAATCTAGGTTAGAATATCTCTGTGCCTGCCTATTAATGTAACATGTTTACTTTACTTACAAGTGAAATGACGGATACTAGGCTATTTTTTGTCTCAAATCAACCCGATTTTATACTGATTTTAATCACCGTCATGAAAACAACAAAATTCAGTAAAAACACTGAATCACCTGTGAATTTTGCAATCTGCTCAAATTTGGTCATATTCAACAGAGAAATTGGAACTAATTTTAAATTATTCCCAAAAATTTCCCAAAATTAAAAATGTATAATAATATTATATATATAAATAATTTTCAAATCAATCTAAATATTTTGTTCTGAACAGTCATAAATATGTTGAATAAATTATTTGAAACGAATGAGATTAAAATTAAAGCCTTTTTCCTAAAGCATACAGTGCATGCATAGAACAGCATCACCCATTCCGTGTAGTCTGGGTCTCCAATCATCATAAAGCTGTTGATATTTTGCCCTTTATCATAAAGGGGCTCAGGGCAAGGCGCTATACAGGCAGGAGCGGTCGGTCATACTACTATAAATCTGGCAATGCCACAGGGAAAAATTTTGTCGTTTTTGGGGAGGAGTTTGCTTTCTATTTTCTTCCTTTCTTTTTACATATGTATGTTATTTTGACGAACAAAGGCATATATATTAGCTGTCAGAATACCCCAAATTCAAAAGGCTTTGGTTCGAGTCTCGTGAAAAACTTCAGTTTGCCCTCTTGATTATGAAATAATAAAATCTCACGTCTCTTGAGCGAAACCTGCTGAGCCTTTTCGAACTTCGAATATTGGAAATTTTATAAAAATTGAAAACTTATTGTAACAAGAAGTCGATATTGAAAATATGACTAGAAGAATATTGCTTTTCTTATTTCTGGTTCCCACGCGGCCCGATATTTAACCATAAATTATGCATTGCTACCTTAATTCGTGAATTCACTTTTATGGGAGAAGTTTTATACATTTATATTTATTTTTAAAAAATTGCCAATATTTAAACTAGATTATATAACGTGATTTTGAAATTCTGATCTTTTTTTTTATTGTATTTTTATAAAATAAAACGTAAAATAATACATCATGGCAATACATGACAATGTCTATGCGTAGGCTTACCATACGTCCCGCTTTTCAGCATTTTGTCCCGCCGTACCGATAAGTCAGCCAAAAGTCCCGCTTTTCCAGCATAATACACAAACATGTTCTTGTTACTGTTGTAACAAGAACGCTAGCCTTCTTACTGAAGGTGAGTGCGTTCGTTTCCCGCTGATTCCCATTGAGGGCAGACGTATCACATGTAAAACTAATACTGATTAGTCTAAATTCGAATTATTTGTACCGGTAACGGTTAACGTCAATTACAATCGTCAACGTCAGTTACAAAATCACAGTTAATGGGTCGTTGTCTTTCGAGGCGTCTCGATTTGAAAATCGACAAAAATATGGTAACCCTATCTATGCGTGATATAATAATTCTGATCTTCATTTTACGATTCAAGTTCACACTCTGGTATGACATTTTGCTGGCATTGCGGGAGTCCGTCCAGTAGTTACAGTGTCAAGTTGCTGAAGGACAGTCTAGATCAGTGATTCTACAAACCTTTCCTGCGGCTCTTGTTAATGCCTTGAAAATGAATTCTTTTTCAAAGAAAAATTTTAATTGAAAACTAATCATTGACTTGAAATTAAAATGTGGAAGTGTTAAGTGTATTAGTTAGTCGAATGGATTCCGCCGTGTTTATTTGCGTAGCGTTGACTAATCTATACAAGATGCAATAGTGACGCAACTGTAAGCATTTTCGCGGCCACTCCGACACTTTTCACTTGGAAAGATTTTAACCATGACTGTAATCACTATTGGCTTGCTTTCGGGGATTTTCAGTTTTTGTCGCATTTCTGAATATTATGTATAAATCAAATAACTCAATGATTTTATTAATTTCTAGAGCATTTTAATTTTGTTCCAGTAATCAAAAATAGTCCCGAAATATTTGGCGATAATCTCAAGCAGCTACTGCATATTGCATCCTCCACGATTACGACCCGCTTTGACAAACTTATTAGAAATCAAAGCCAAAATAAATGGCTATTAGTCTAGGGTGGGCAAAATCGAATCTTTTTTCGAATCGAATAATTTGAATATTTTTACCAAATACCGAACAGTCGAATGATAAATATATATATATATATTTTTTTTTTATATATAGCAGGGATCCAGAACGTCGGGGGGTGATACTCAATTTGGAAATTGATATAAAGTCGGCAATAAAGCGTTTTGTTTTTCTTGTTGAGGGTTAATTTCATCATAATCGCTGATTGTCTTTGTCACCGCGATCGTTTCGGCGGCGATATCCTAAAGTTGGTATTCTATATTCCTGCTCTTTCTCGTTTTTGCAAGAATAAGGGGGCCGCCGGATATCGAAGTTTTCATTTTCTAGTATACCCTTGCTTTCACATCAGCGACAGCTGTTGAAGACATTAAGGGCTGATGTCAAAACCAAATTAATTTTATTCTGAGTTTTATCCTCTGCCTTGGATTTGATCTTTCTTATTATCGGTTGTAAATTAACCGTGCCTGTTTAAAGTGAACGGTAACCGAAATGCAGATATTTATTAAAATGATAATTGAGTTTCTCATGCTTTTCTATGGTGTTCGTGTTATTTTAGCATTAGATAGATAAACCTAGCGAACTTACGATTGTGTGAATCCTGAATGTTGTTTTAAAATAGCGATTAAATAAATTGGCAATAAAGGCATTTCTAGGCTTTTGTGCCTAATAGAGGGTCAGACGCTAACTATACCTAATTCCTTCAAGTTTTAACATTTTTTTTCAACAAAACAACACCCCGATGGTTATTATATCTAAAATACTTACTGAGTAACGCTCAATATTCTTTACGGAATTTGCAAATTCAGCACTTCATGCACCTAATGATTTTGATTATGTCATGCCTTGATGCTTAATTATTACTGCCCAAATGCTTCAAAATTTAACAATTGTAATCATTTTCAACGATAATAGACGCAACAAGTCATGAACGAATCAGTGTGCATTGTTACAACGAAATTCTCGATTGATATTACGTTCTAACTCTTGGCTTAACGGCCATGCATGGTCGAGTAAAATGTTTATATATTCGAAACATTACTTGGCTAAGGACGGAAGGGATCACTAAAGAGCTAATACAAAATGCTTTAAAGGGAGTAGGATGTAGTACAACGTAATGAATGTATTTCATACAAGTAACTCATACCGATATTTGGAAAAACTTTTGGTCATTTTTAAATCCATGCTATTTATATAACTAGAGTTTTCTAACGACCTAAAATCATTTTAACATTTGATTTGAATCAACTTTATGTTCGGTAATGCAAGAAATGGCTAATGACATGTCACCAAGCATGAGGAGTTTAAAATCTGGGAAATTTATTTTAAATACCTAATTTGGTTTGACGTTTCTAAATTTATATAACGGTCGTTACGTTTTTTGCAAAATATGGAATTGAAACGTTACGTTAGGTGCAAAGATAAACATATAACACCATAACGCAATAAAACGACTTTTTAAATTTGTCTTTTTTCTGATAGCGAGCGCTGTTGACAAAGCTCGCACAATTCACGATTGAGTTGGAGACGCGCGAATTCGGTGTCCAAGCAGAGCGGCGCCAGTCACGTGGTACCGGATATTCGAAAACATAGTAAAATGTCATTCAAATATTTGATAATACAAATATTTTGCCCAGCCTTAGTTGTTACGTGTGTTGTTGTTACGATGACTTGGTATTTTAAATATGCGCTTAAGGTTTGTTGCAATTTTACCCTGCGTTGTTTGTGTGCGGCTATTCATAACTTTGAGGTTTGAAATGCGGCTCTGGGACTAAAAAAGTTTGAGAACCACTGGAGTAGATAGAAGAAATTGTCATATTAATAGGTTATAAGTTTAAATAGTAATAATTTAAAATAAATAATAGTAAGTTATAAGCTGTTTCTTAGGATCTTTTAACTAGGCTTTATACAGATTGCACTATATGATTCAGATTTTATTTTCGCCGTGCAAAACCAATATACAATATCGTATGAAATAAATAAAATGTATGTAACAAATTACAAAAAATGTATCTCGGCTTGTTGCATTTGGCGAAGATTCGCGAAAG